TTTTAAAAGTGAAAATATTGAGATCAGACTTGCGTGTGTAATCTAATAGCTAAACAAAGTTGTTTAATTGTCTGACATTAAATATTTGTGAAAAGTGTATGCATAGAAAAGATGTTGAGGTATATGCACCGATTCACATGCAGAGAACATACAGGTGTAAGTACAGAACAACTGCACAATCCTGACGGCTGTTGGCTCTAAAATGCACATAAAACACTCCATGTTGCACCTTAGGGGGATGAGGGGGAGGCTGTTGTGCTGAGGTGAGGAGCGAGGTGTATTTTGTTTATATCTCACCAAAACACAGTGATACATTGTGTAGTTTGGTTCCTAATATATGACAGTCCACTCAGACTTGGCTTGTACAATGCCTCTGTGTTGTCAGTTCGGACCAGTTTGCAGTTGATGTGTAACCACTCCATCTCCCTTCTTACTGCTTTGTGACAGGTGTCAGTGGCTTATTACTGCACTACAGACTGTTGTCCTTTACACCTCAAGATGAAGCTGTCTTATAAACACCTGTGGAGGCTGTCTTGTGTAGGGTAAAACAAACGCTGCCATAGTGGAGGCCTCTCAGCTACTGGCAACATTTGAGGTGAGATGGAAGAAATGGGTGATTTCCATCATAAATTATTTTGTCATTCATAAATCATATAAACATGACAATTGGTCAGTCGCATAATTAAAACTTATAATAGTATGAAATATAAGTTATTGTTTATAGCTGACATTAACCTGCTGCCTAATCAACCAGTTCACAAAGCCATAGATTAGGGCGTCAACTGAGGATTACTTGCAATATTGATTCATTCGCCAATTAGTTTCCTGATAACAACACCCTACGATTAAAAAATTTATTCTGTTCACTGCCATATAAGATGAAAAAAGGTAAATCCTTACAATAGAGAGGCTTTAACCAACAAACCAAACAAAAACCTATAATTCCACCATGTCACACTTTTAATTTTCATATAACAAATAGCAACAAACTATGGGTGGGCAATTAAATGTCTTATCAAGATAAATTATCACATTTACCTGGTTATTCTCGTATACATCACTAAGTGTATTTCCTTTCTTACGTTGGCTCACTTTTTTTTTAAATATATATTTTTGTGGGCCTTTTTTTGCCTTTAATGGATAGTGACAGCTCAAGGGTGACCAGAAAGGGAGAGAGAGAGAGAGGGGATGACACGCAGAAAAGGGCCACAGGTCGGATTTGGTTGCAGCAAAGACTCAGCCTTGGTACATGGGGCGCCAGTTCTGCCAGGTGAGCTATCCAGGCACCCCATGTTGGCTCACTTCTGATGCCTTGTCCTGTTTAATTTCAGTAAGTTAAGTTAGAGTTACTGGGCTGTTGGCCAACTGGTTGGTTGAACTTCTGGTTTGATTTCACCAATTGTTGTTGCTATACAAACATTCAGTGTAAAATGCAGTAAAGGTTAGTTTAGTTTGAGGTATAGTTAGAAGTATTTCAGTTTTTAAGTAAAGCCATGCTTAACATTTTCTCCAGAGGATGATGGTGCCATTCATGTTTGAATAGAGATTGGAGCCACAAACGCAAAGCCTCTATACTCCTCTTCCCCACGCAACCCAAATAACAGAGGCGTCATATAAGAACTCCTGGAGGTGGCATGACGCAGAGTAGATAACTAGACTATTAGATAACCATACAGCAGTGAAGCAGCAAAGCACAGAAAACAGCAGAGAAACTAAAATTCAGCAAGACTACAAGACCATAGGGAGGAAAAAATAGAACAGGCTTATAGGCTTATATGGTAACAAGCCTGGCAACATGGCAGTGGTTTCCTCCACTTTAGTATCTTTGAGTGGTTTTGCTTATATTTCCAGAGTACTGCCAGTCATGCATATGCATTAGCATTCTCCTAAATTAGTCTTTGCCTTAGTGGGAAACCCCCTACTGAGAAAGTCTGTACTGTAAAAAGAGAATAATGAAGCTCATCCAGGCAGGATGAGGGTTGGTGTTTGCAGGGGGACTTGAAAGGGGGTAAATCATATTACAAATGTGGTTGACATGTGGTTCAAAAATGAAACACTCAGCAGATGAATGATGCCATGAATATTGCCATTATTAGCACAGTGTTAGAAGAATTAATATGGGTTTGCTTTTTTATTTTTGCTTTTTTTAGTCCACCCAGGAGACACTAGAACTATAAAACATTGTTTCTTTGTCTGCAGTACAATTGTTCTGTCTTGGTTTAGGAAGATAGAAGCACCAAGGTGATTATACCTGGTTCCTCTGAATTACTGGCTTTGCAGTCATCATCAGGCTAATTCTATCTTTTACAGACTCAAGACTTATCTCGTTCCTTCTTCCAGTATGATATCTATGACCCACGACCTCTGCCTTATAATCCTGACAGAGAGGAGGGCCATTTAAAAGAATTAGGACACAGCTGTGTGTCAATGGCAGAGCACAGGAGGACAATATGCAATGCAACACCCCCTCTCAAACCCTTCATCACCCTCACACCCTCTGTTCCCACTTCCTCCTGTGTCTCTCTCAGATTTTCCACCTCTATTTCCTTGCCTATGATTCCAGGTTCCCAGTACTGCCAGAGAAAGCCTACCAACCCCCCCCCCAACTATGCATCCTGTTTCTGACACATGCCAACTTAGCCGGCCGCTCTAGTCAGCTGAACACAGATCCAGTTTCCCCTTCTTAATACTCCTAACAAGCCTTTTCCCTCTGCAGCCAAGTGTCAAGCCTACCAAAGTCACCTAACGGGATGGCTCTGCCCTCCATACACACACAGCAACACAACAACGCAGAGAGGGAGCCACCAACAGAAACATGCTTTCATTTTTAGCGTTTCTCCTCGTTTGCAAGAGATGAGATGCAACCAGATACCCACTAGCAGTCACAAGATGGATACCTCATTATATTTGCATGGTTTATTTTCATCACTTGCCTTGCAAAACGATGAGAAGTATGAAGGATGACATATGGTTTGGTGCCATTTCTGATACTGGGATCCATGGGCAGAACAAAATGACAGGAGGCTGACAGCCAAGTAATAGCCTAAACAGCATACTGGCCAGAATTATCTCTCAGTGTAAATATGAGCTGTTAAGATGGGACAGTGTTTTTCAAGCAGACTTTAAAATAATCTGAATTCCAGAGGACTGATTGCATTTCAACTCCGATATCATGTAAATGCCTGCTTGTGCTTTTCAATATGGACAATTCAAAGGTAATGAAGTTCATCGTCATGTCCAAAATTTAGATCAAACACAGCTTATTTGAGAATTATCTGTTATTTTTGTGCATAAAGGGGGTGTGGCACGGGGAGATATGAATGAAATCAATATTAAAATATTATTTAGAATAAAATCAAAGAAAAAAATCAGATATCAATGCATATGGCATAAATCTATCCAAAATGGCATTTTAAATAATTACATGGATGTTCAGTAGAAATGTGTTTCACTATTGTGCTTCAAAAATGTAAAACAAAACATTCACCAAATAATTTTGTTAGATTTAATTGAAATTTTTTAACTTTGATATGATCATATCATAACAATATGATTCCACCTGAATATTGATAAATCACATTGAATTATTTCAGTGTTTCTCTAGGTAACATTCAGCAACAAGAAAACATAATTTAAAAACCAAACCCCCATGCATTGCATCTTACAGCATTCCGCATGGTAGAGCAATGAAGGCTATTTTCTGCAGTTATTGCCAGCTAAGGATGATGACTCTATGCCCAGTCTCCCACCTGTCATAACACCAAACAGAAATGGGCAGAAAAGGGCCAAGGCCACCAAAAGGACATGACAGCAGAGAGAGCAGCAGGAGGGACACGGCTCATCCATTTGAATTGGATATAACGCAAACTTATCAAGGACACAGACATTCACCCTTGCTCTCTCTTATTTCCGTCCATCATTGTCACTTTTCTTTTCAACCCCTCTGCACTTAATGCTAAATACAGATTGGCACCATCACAGCACTTTGCCATTGATTTTTTTGCGTATCAAATAACAAAATATTTTCTAACTCCAAACAGGCGTTATGAAATAAAACGCTGGGCAATGTTTTGCACACTGTGAGCAACATTACCTTTACTTACTCGCCCTCTCTTCAGCCAGGGGACCACTCACACTATACGCAAGTGTGTGAGTCATGTATGAAGCAGCCTTTTACACACATGTGAATAAGCCATGATTCACCCATAATGCAGGCCACCCCAAGCAAAGTAATGGGCAGTCCCCCTTTTTATCCTATGTCTATATTAGTCCTGCAGACAGATTAGCTTCATCAATCCACAAAGACATTTTATATGCAACATAAACACATTACAACCAATCACTGTGCAAACATTTAAGAATAGAAAGCTGTGAAAAGAAGGAATTATGTTTCCAGGGACTTAATATTGCGGAGTTGTTGCAACCTAGAAAAGGGGCTGCCTTGATGTCTGGGTCCCAGTGGACTTCATTAGGTCTCAGTGGTGGAATGGGCAGGATAATATGTTTGGTTACATGAAACTAGTTTCTGCCTCCCCCCCCGAAAACGTGTACTTTCACCCTACAAGATAGGAGCCAGTGTGGCATGAGGACACTCTGTTGTGTGTTGAAGCAAAATAAAATGAAGGAATTGCTCTCCTCTCATCCCACCCATATCTCTCATGCAACACAACCCCCTTCATTCAAGAGTGGGAGTTGGTAAACACAGCCAACAGGATGATAACAATCAAGGGATGCATTCATTATAAAGGCAGTGCAATTGGCACTTGATATCTGTTTAGTGGGTGCAGATGATGCAGATGATGAGGAGAAACCATCAGATTAATCTTAGTGGCATGTCACTAACACAATGAAGGCCATTACCGAACAGGAAGTCAGGCCAGTGTCAGATAGAATAAATACAATATGTGTATATGTGATTATGTATGAGGCGTTTTAAAGAGATTTTTTTTATTTTTTTTTTACAATCTACAAACTGATTGTGGACACAGAAGCAGCCATACCTTGCTTTTGATGTTGCAATGGCAGCAAACAGTCCACAGATATTTGAGGGTTCTCCATAGCAGGATGATGAAGAGACCCCCAAAAAACGTCACCATGGATGAGGCGAGGAATGCCCACCACATGCGCTGTCCATTATTGTCGCAGGGCACCTCAGACGAGAACGGGATGACAACGTCTTCCATCTTGGATATTAAGATTGAAGAGTCCGGATTTATATTATTATTGATATTGCTTGTCCTCATAGAGCTGTCGCTTCCATGGGGAACGGTGCCATCTGCCTCAGCTAGCATTTAGGAGCCTTGGAGAGCCTGTGCCAGCGTCCCCAGCCCCACTCACCAGCCATATTGCTTGAAAAAAAAAAAAACCCTCTTGACTGTAGATTGTGTTCACCCACCCGATGGAGTCTGTATTTTATTTATTTTTTTAGCAGTCTATGAATTGTTTATTAGTGACAGCGTGAGACACCGCACACGCGAACCGGACCAAAATAGCGGGTCGGTGGCCCTTGGAGAGAGGCATTTAAATCCGCAATAATGACGAATCCGAGGCGCTTCTCAATCTGAGGGGTTTCCTGTCTCTCTCACGCCAAATGCCATGGTAAAGACGGCGTCGTTTGCAGCCTTCGAGGCTGCCAATGATGTTTCGGATCGTGGTAAACACAGCGACAGTGAACAATGTTACAGCCTTGTCTTGGCGAGGCGACCTTCCCTCAGCCGTCTTCCATTCGGGGATCCCGTCGATTAGCGGGCGGAGAATCGATTTCACTTTTCTTTAAGGCGCTAATCGACTGTGAACGGTTTGACACAACGCGGAGAAGAAAGAGAGAAAAAAAAACAAACGCACCTCGAGATTTTAATTCTACTGTTGCTTTTAGCTGTCACTGCGGTGAAGACTACATGTTCTTGCGGATGTTTTCGTTGTCAATTCTGCGTAAAAGCGAAGAGCGCTCGGGTGGATGTCACTGTCTCCATTCGGTCCCCTGCAGCCCTGGCACGGAGCGGCCAGCTGAGAGCGCCTGTCAGCTCCGCTCCAGAGGAGAGCGGGG